GGGGCACTGGGAGGGAACTGGGGGCACTGGGAGGGAACTGGGGGCACTGGGAGGGAACTGGGGGCACTGGGAGGGCACCGGGAGGGAACTGGGACGGAACTGGTGCCACTGGTGCCTCTGCCCCCCCCAGGTTCACTTCTTCAACAGCTTCTTCTACGACAAACTGAGGACCCGCGGCTACGAGGGGGTGCAGAGATGGACCAAGAACGTGAGGGGCGGGGCCAGGGCATGCTAATGAGGGGGCAGGACCAGCCCATGCTAATGAGGGGGCAGGACCAGCCCATGCTAATGAGCTGGGGCTACAAAGGGGTGCAGAGATGGATCAAGAACGTGAGGGGCAGGGCCAGGCTAATGAGGGGGCGGGGCCAGGACATGCTAATGAGGAGGGAGGGACTATATGTGAGGTCTAAAAGGGGTGTGGTCAGGGGTGGGTGGGACTTGAAGTGGGTGGGGCAGGGATGGGTTAATGAGGTGGGAGGAGCTAAAAGTGAGGGTGTGGTCATGGGATGGGTGTGGCCCATAAAGGGGTGGAGTCTGATTGGTGGGTGGGGCCATAACTATGTTAATGAGGTGGGAAGGACTAGAAACAAGGGTGTGGGTGTGGTCATGGGATGGGTGTGGCCTATAAAGGGGTGGAGTCTGTTGGGGCGGGGTCATAACTATGTTGATGAGGTGGGAGGAGTTTCGTAGTTGGACCAATGGCTGGACCAGTAACATGAGGGGCGGGGACTAAAGAGGGCGTGGGGGTGGGCGTGTCCCGGCGGGGGTGGGCGTGTCCCAGCGGTGTCCCCGCCCCCCAGGTGGACATTTTCGGGAAGGAGCTGCTGCTGATCCCGATCCACCTGGAGGTTCACTGGTCCCTCGTGGCCGTGGACGTTTCCCGGCGCAGAATCACCTACTTCGACTCCCAGCGCACCCTCAACCGCCGCTGCCCCAAGGTGGGCGGGGTCTGACGCGGGTGGGTGGGGCCTCTGACCAGGTGGGTGGGGCCTAAACCCAGTGGGCGGGGTCTGAAGCTGGTGGGTGGGGCCTAAACCCAATGGGTGGGGTCTAAACCCAATGGGCGGGGTCTAAAGCTGGTGGGTGGGGCCTAAACCCAATGGGCGGGGTCTGAAGCTGGTGGGTGGGGCCTAAATCCAATAGGTGGGGTCTAAAATGGGGGGGTGGGGTCTCTGACCATGTGGGTGGGGCTTAAACCCAATGGGCGGGGTCTGAAGTGAGTGGATGGGGCCTAAAGCCAGTGGGTGGGGTCTAAAGTGGGTGGGTGGGGCCAAAGCCCAGTGGACGGGGTTTAAAGTGGGTGGGCAGGGCCTGAAGTAGGTGGGTGGGGCCTCTGCCCCTGTGGGCGGGGTCTAAGCCCAATGGGAGGGGTCTGAAGCAGGTGGGTGGAGTCTCTGTCCCTGTGGGTGGGACCTAAACCCAGTGGGCGGGGTCTCAACCAAGTGGGTGGGATCTTTGCCATTGTGGGCGTGGCCTGACCCCAGGGGGCGTGGCCTGCTTTTCCTTTCATTAACCCTTAGTGGGACTTAATTAAGACAAGCCCTGAGGGGGCGTGGCTTTATCACCCCGGGGGCGTGTCCTGCTGGTGTGGGCGTGGTTTCAGGTGTGGGTGTGGCCTCCCTGACCACGCCCCCCGCCCCGCCCCCAGCACATCTGCAGGTACCTCCAGGCCGAGGCCGACAAGAAGGAGCGGCCGGACTTCCGGGAGGGCTGGAGGGGGGCCTTCAAAATGGTGAGAGACCCCCCAGAACGGCCCCAGACACACCCGGGACCCCCAAAAATGGACTCGGGACCCCCAAAAACCCCCCCGGGACCCCCGAAAACAGAGTCAGGACCTCCAAAAAACCCCCCCAGAGCCATTCTGGGAACCCCAGAAACATCCCTGAGACCCCCAAAATCCAACTCGGGACCCCCAAAAATCCAACCCAGAGACCCCAAAAACCACCTCAGGACCCCCAAAAACCAACCCTTGGACCCCCCAAATCCCCCCTGGGACCCTCCAGACCCCCCAAGACCCCCCAAAATC